TTCCTGCTTGAAACTATTCCTATAGTGTTTTCTTCTAACACATATCATAGTCTTAAAATTCATCCACCTTGGCTTGTTTCTTTGCTTACATCCATGTTTATGTGAAATGTGATAAACATGCACCATCAGGCAATGTTCCCTGTGCTAATGAATCCCTCTAAAATTATGTTGATTATTTTGCATGAACAGAGGTATCAGTGAATCATTAGAAAAAAAAATTTGATTAATTAAAACCTATTTGATTAATTAAAACCTTTAAGGCCAGGCTGGATGAGGCTTTGAGCAACCTGGTCTAGTGGAAGGTGTCCCTGCTGATGGCAGGGGGGTTGGAACTAGCTGATCTTTAAGGTCCCTTCCAACCCTAACCATTCTATGATTCTATTCTGCAAGCTTATAAATAATAGACTTCTTTTCCCAATTTAAATGAATATCATTCTCACTTCAATTACTAATGTCACAGTCATAATTCTTAAAATTCTTACCTACACTAATCATAAAAATCTAATCTTACTTTATAAAAAAAGAAATAAATAAAAATGAATTCACTTATTATCACTTTGTGTTTAAGAAATGCTTTTCCCGAACAACAAAAACACATGTGCACATGCTTTATTTTGTTCCCAGTTAACTGTCATTTTCTGGTTCTTTTTCACTAAGCTGATCTTTGGGTTGCTTATATTTCAGGAGAGAACTTTTATAACAATTATAATCCAAGTGAAAAGCAGCCTCATTAACACATTTAATCTTTTGTAAAACTTTATTCTTCTAAATCCTAAATCAGAGACAAACTTAATCTGATAGTTTCACTTCCAACAGGCTACCTTCAAATTCTGGGATGTAACTGGCTTACCTGCTTTCTCTCATCTCCATCATTACCACATCTTTCAGTTAATTTTTCTTTAAAAAAAAAATCTTTTTCATTAGACTTGTCTCTAGCCATTACTTGCTGTTATCTTTCAGTTAATTTTTCTTTAAAAAAAAAAAAATCTTTTTCATTAGACTTATCTCTAGCCATTGCTTGCTGTTTCACCAAATAGCAAGTCATGATATTATTTCATAGCAAAGACAGGCCACCATGCTGTCCTCACAGAAGTCAATGGCAACATTCCCACCCACAGCAGAAGAAAATAAATATTGCTCTGATACATTTTAATTGAAACTCTTCTGGATTCCTAGCTTATTAAGCTCCCTGCCATTATGCTACTTTGCCTTTGTTATATTTCAGAAGAGAACTTTTATAACAATTATAATCCAAGTGAAAAGCAGCCTCACTAACACATTTAATCTTTTGTGTGATTAAAGACTTCTACTTGTCTGAACTGAAATACCTGAAAATTTTAAGAAATCAAGTTTTCTCTCTTCTCTTCTCCTCTTACCCTTGAAAACAACAAACATATTCATTTTCTTTTCTTCTAAAATGCAATATTGCTTTTCTTACCATCCATGCTGTGACAAAATCTCCCATCCAAGTCCCAACTGCAGCTACCTTCATAAAATTTTCATTCCTGATGCCCATGAAGTCTGTTATAATGTATGCACTGTGGAAACAAGAACACAGACTGTAAGCTATACACATTTGCTTAATGCAGTTATAAAGAACTTGCTTTAGTGACAAAATTTGTAAATAGCTGTGAAAGATTTCCCATTTCTTTCATAATCACTTTTTATGCTAGATCTGAGTCTTTGCATAGTACTGAACTAGGATGGGTCAATTCCAATTAGAAATGGAAATGTGAATCTGATTTTACAAATTCATCTTCTTTTCAAGGCACTGAAATAATATGTAAAGGCTTTAAGATTATGTAAGTCTTCTGGAAATATAAACTATTTTACACTTCTTGCCTCTTTATTTGTGCAAATGGAATTGCAACATTCCTGGAATCAGTGACTTCGCAAAATCTTTGTGAAGAAAAACTAAAATCTCCAAATTCTCTTTAAAAAAGATAATTGATGCATTTGACTTTTCACTCTACCAGTTACACAATCACATGTTTACACAGAACACAACACAACAGTGCAAGCAAGCTTTGCAGAATTTCAGTGAGAAGTCACTCTTTCTTGGTTTATACCATGTATTTTCATAGATATATTTTACTTAAATCCAAAAGGAGCATTTCAACTCTGCTTAAATAATGCAATAGATGATAGGATTTAAAACCTCACACCATAATTTGATCTCTACTTTCAAGTTCATCAAGATGCTGTAAGGACAATTAAGAAGGTAAAGTTATTTGTGCTGGATTAAAACCTTTGTGAAAAAATCACAGCTTTTAATATACTCATATCCTTTGCTAAAAGACTTCTATAGTGTTTCAGAAGAGATGACTCTCCTCAAGAGCTAACACAATGAATAATGATAGCAATTATATTTTTTTAACTTCCCAAGTGATATCTGTGTGTTCAAGATACCCGTAAACATTGCTTATACACTGTTACGCCTATTTAAGGGTGCGCACAACTGACTCAGTCGCATGAAACAACTTCCTTGAACATTACGTTAGTCGTTATTCGACTCTTCCATTACCCTATGCCAAATGTAATGTCCAGGACCTAACAGGCCATATCCCTGCAACTGGGTCACTGCAAGATGATCCCACTTTCTGAGGCAGTCCTATAAAGATATAAATATTTAATCAGGAGAGAGGATCTTGCTAGCACAAATCCATGCACACCACTATATCACTTCTTAGATACAAGCTACTATGTTCTAGAGTAGAAATACTAATGTCACTGAACAGTTTCATGACACGGGTAAGATGACATACCCTAATGGCTCTTTTCATTATACACACTTCATGACCTTTCAGCTAATATGTCACAAACAAAAATACAGCCTCTCTTTTTTCATCTGTTGAACAGCATATAAATGCTGGCTCAGATTTTCTACTGGAATTAAAAAGAAAAAACAACACTTTTTTTTCTAAGCTATTTTTAATTATGTTTCACATAGTTAATAAGATTATCGATATTCTGAATTTGTTGTGTTGTAAATAAGGACGCAAGAACACGAGAACAGCTCTATTGGGTGAGTCTAAACTCCCTCTGTTCCAACACCCTGTCCCCAAGAGGGCCAACAGCAGACACCTAGGGAAGACTGCAAGAACAGGCATGCACCCCCCTCCTAGATACATTCTCCAGCCTCTTTATAACTGGGAAACATTTGGAATTCCTTTTTTCCCTGTATCTTGAGTATTTAATTCTTGTAGCACCTGTGAAGGTGAAAAATAATCAAGTCTGTATTCCTTAAGTAGGTACCTCATTAACAAAAAAGGCACAACAATAAATGTCAGTTCTAAGGACTGGCCCCCAATAGCAACTTGTATCTTTACCTTTTTCATCAGTGTGAAACATTTACAAAAAAATGCAGTTCTCACATTTTTATATTCACATTTCTCATGTGATTATACGTGATTAGAGGTGTACAGAAACTAAATGAACACTTGCACAACACTCTGGAAAAACAGACCAGTTGGGTAACTCCTACAGCGCCATCGCACATAGTGGGCCTGCCACAGCCACCCACGGAAGGCTGGTGTAGACAAGATGGGTTATCCAAGAAGACTGAGAGGTCACTGATAACTATATGCAGGTATTAACGAAGAGGACATAAGCTATTTTTTAACTGAAATTAAAATTCTCCAGGTAGTCACTTGTTTTTATGAACATAAAAAGTATCTGAAGGCTTCAGATGAGCTGGACACAATATTCAAATATATAGAAAGGCCTTGAATGCACTAGATCGTCCTAACAGTCCTTTTAGTAACTTGAAATATGAACATTTGAAACATGAAAGCATCCAAGAAGCCTACTGTAAATTGCATATTGTAGTCTATAAATACTTAATGCCTAAATTAAATATGCAAATTGACAGACCTTCGGTTAGAGTTAAAATAGCGTATGATTGTAAGGAAACTCTTAAGAAAATAATCTGTTCACATTTTAAGCACATTTACTTATTAAAAACAGTTACAACTTTTTATATGGAACAGGGAAAATATTTTTAGCACTGTCATTATCATATTAGAAATAGTACCGAAATACACTGCTATTTTATTAACTATTAGCATTACATCCCATGTCTTTTATGTTCTCTGCAGTATTTTTTAATTTCAAAACACAAAGATAAATTTACTTTTTTAAAATATGGATTTTTGGCTGCTAAAAATGAAAAAACCCTCCATTTTTAATTTTCAGGTTTTAGTTTAAATATAAATGAGAGCAGTTGACATTTTCAAAAAAGCCATGCTTGCCTGATGTTACCAGGATACATATTTTAACAGTCCAAAAGTAAGATTAATTCTATTGTGGAAAAATCCCCACTTTTTCCAGCTTTAGCTAGTGATTAGAGCAGTTTTCATTAACTGGTTACTCAGCTTCCTGGCTCAGACCCATGTCTGCACCTTGCAGGAGGGCTAATAGCTGCTGGGTTCCAGTTAACTGTCATGGTCAGCCCAGATTTTCCATAGCTTGTCAAAAGGCTTTGCTTTGCCTTATTTATATTCTGTAGCAAGGTACATTCATATTGCATGAATAGCACAATCTAGGAAAAGAGAGTGGTAAAACATAGCAGTTAAATCTCATAACAGAGTAAAAAGCTCTTCAGAAGCAGACAGGCTAACTGTAAATAATTAACAGCTGAGGAACCAATACTTATGAATGTTATAGATAAAGGACAAGTTTGTGAGTGGGATTTGGGACAAAACCACTATTAACCTTTGACAGAAAAATTGGAAGCTGTAAAGCCACAGAAATTGCTCGTTGCAGGCCAAAGACTGTGGAAGGCAGACCACAATTTTCACACAATAGGAATAAACAGAGGAACCAGAAGACAAGAGACTTGAGGCAGAAAGACAAATAGTTCTAAAACAGAGTCTAAAAAAAATCCATCATAAAGTGCCTAAGTCCATGTTGTTGCAAAAGGTAAGTTAATAACAGGCAGTCAGTAAAAAGATGTATGAACTCAATGTATTTGATTATTTTTCTGGAGTTAGCAGCAGAGTGTACATAGAACAGACAAAGAGGGTGACAACAGCACTATCCCAGATAAATTGTTCAAAGGAAGATATCAGAGCATATTTTCAACGAAGGATGACACTTTAGCAGCCACCAAAATGACAAACAGTCTGAAAGCAAACACAGGTTTTTAATTTTAAGTTGGATAAAGACATACAAGCCACTGTGGTGCTATCAACATTGTTCAGGCACTGGAATAAAACTCATGGCTGAAACTCAGTGCTGCGATCGTGCTTTCTTGAGCAATCACAGGAATCTAAAACTGGGATATAGCTTGAATTTAGACACTTAAATTTAAGTGTAAACCAAGGATCCAGATTCTTAGTGGAGCCTTAGTCAGAACAGTCAACGCAGGTTAGAGCGTGATTCATCCTTAGGCTACTGTGGACATGTTGGGTGAAGGATGTTTGCCTTTTGTTACTGCAGGATGGCTAACATGTCAAAACAGTATGTTCACATACTAAAAGGTATTGCTAAACCTGTGTGACTAATTAATTCCAGGTGCTGTGATATACCCTGGTCTCCAGATGATAATCCAGAGAGATCTGCATCTCTTGTAAAGCTTTTGACACATCTGACAACCCAGATGCATCTGATGATGCTTGCACATGGCACACAGGGTATGCTCTGTACAGAGTCTACAAGAACTGCATCCATAGAGAATAGTAACGTAAGGCTCTTCAAAAAGGAGGGAGGCCTAGATGTCTTTTATGTTGAGTGATAAGTCTGTACATATTCTGCAGTCTAAGTGCTTTTCTGAGGTGGTTTTATTATCTAGCATTCTCCCTAAATAGCTGATTATCTGTATGGAACTCATCTTCCCTGGTGCACCTGACAAAGTGAAATGTCTTGACAGTAGCCAACAAGTGACAGCATGGGAGTTCATGCATTCTGCAAAGAAGTATGTGTTTAGATTTGGCACCACAAGCTTCCATTACTCTTAATTTAACGGAGGCAAAGAGTGTCAAAATAACTGAAAACATACATAAAAGACTGCAAATACAGATGCTGATCCATATTTGTCACTCTAAAATGACAGCATGGCAAATGAGACACTTGGTAGCACCTTGCTCTGGCTGAAAAGCTATCCCTCTACTTCTAGAAACTGAAGTCAGAGCCACAGAGAACTGGAAGATGCACAGAGAAAACAAGACCTGCTGTCCTAAAAGCTGGCACATCATAACGAGCATGGCATAATGCATAGCTACCTACAAACAGTACAGAGAGCACAACAGCTCTAGCCATCCCATACAGTCCCTAACCATCCCAGCGCACACTTTAGAGGTACAGACAAAACTTTCTCTATGACATCAGAACAGAGATAATTAAGAGGCACTGAACCAGGGATCTTGCTTGACAAGAGGTCAAAGAGGTAACAGGCATAAGAGACTCAGCAGGCTAATCTCCAAGCCACAACAAAACTAGGATGCAAAAACAGCTTGGCCAGAGCGAGACAGGTCCATGGCACAGTGCAGAACACCTGAGATGGATGGATTGATGCTGTAACTGAGCAACTGT